GCACGGAGTCGCGGCCTCACAACGCTCACGATCCGGTCGAATATCACACGCACGCACGCAGGGTGCCGGGACGGCTACATGTCAGCGTCGCATGCATCCGCCAGCGCTGCGAACTCCTTGTTCATCCGATTTTTGTACGCTTGCATCGCTGACTTGACCTCCTCCGCATCTACATGGTCCAGGAGATCGCCATCAAAGACCCAAGCTACAAAGTGGAAGCCGCAGTCGTCGGGACCACTGCCAAACCTGCCAGAGACAAGGTACTCCAAGCGCTCGTCGTCTTCATCGACAGGTTTCAGCGCCACCGCAGTCATCTGGCTCGGGTCACAGTAGCGCATGCCGAGCACCTCTTCAATCTCCAGCAAGGCTGCGTCTGTTGACCCGCCCGAGCGTTGGCGAGCGGCGGCAGAGCGCCGACTTCCCGCATGCAATCGCGAATATGGCAAGCCTTCTTGCTCCTGTCGTCGTTCCAGTACCAGCCGGCAGCTGCGTCTTCTTGCCGCATACATCGCGGTGCGGCCTTCACAAGGCTGAAGCGAAGCGACGGAACGCCCAAATTTGCGCGTTTCGAGCGGTTGTTCATGGCGCAAAGGGGTACGCAAGAAAATTAACTTTTGAGCGTCGAAGTTACTTCGAAAAGTAAGCTGTTACTTCGAGAGAGCTCGCGGAGAGCTTTTACATGGTGTGTTTAACGTCGTGTTGCTCCCAGGGGTTGCCCGTTTACACGGTGGGGGCCCGGGGCTGGCACCCTGACCGTGACTCAGCCTTCTCATTTGCAGATTTGTGTGTGTATACGCTATATCTTATAATAATTAATATATAAAAAGATTAGAGTTATAAAGAATCGACAAATTGATGTATCATGAACAATAATGCTTTAAAGCCGTATCGCGAGTCCTGTACCGTGTACGGCTATTTACGCGCCACGTGGTACGCGCGACTTGCTGGACAAAGGTATATCTAGAAGAAAGAAGACCTTAAATTAGTCCTCGTCGAATGAGATCTCCTCCACCTCGTCGCCCTCGTCCGCACTCTGAGGCTCCACGCGCCGCGCCGGCTCGCGCCGCGCCGGCTCGCGCGCCGCGCCGCCAGCCGAGCGATCCGCTGGCGGTGGCGTCGCCGCGAGCGCCGCGCGCCACCGCCGCTCGGCGTCGCTGCCCACGCCATTGTTGGAGAGGTCGAGGTGGGCGAGGGCGGCGTTGCGGCGCAGCCCGGCGGCCAGACCTTCCGCGCCCGCGTCCTTGATTCCGTTGTACCCGAGCCTTAGCCGCTGCAGCTTGTCGTTCGTCTTGAGCGCCTCGCCAAGCTCTCTCGCGCCGCGGTCGAGCAGCCCGTTCCACTCGAGGTCGAGCGAGGCGAGGGGGCAGTCCGCCGCGCCGAGCGCCGCGCCGAGCGCACGCGCGCCGCGCGGTCCGACTCCGTTCCACGCGAGGGACAGCTCCGAGAGGCGGAGGCTCGAGGAGAGCTTGCTGCCTCCGCCGCCGAGCGCAGCAGCAACCGCCTTGGCACCCTCGTCGGTGAGCCGGTTGTGCGCGAGATCGAGCGAGGAGAGCGAGGCCGGCAGGGCGGCCAGGAGCGGCGCGACGCCCTTGTCGCCCAGCCGAGTGTCGGCGAGGTCGAGCGACTCGAGGGCGGTGAGCGCGCCGAGCGTGCTGGCGAGCAGCTCGACCGCCTCGCT